TTAAATCTGGAAAGTAAATCTAGATTTGGATCCTTGACATTCTTGCACAATGTTAAAACAGTTACTGGAAGAAATGCAGCCAAGATGAACACGCAAAGTTACACTAATAACTCACCTTATGGCACATAATAAAATCTGATGAAAAAACCGGTCTGCAGAGCCCCTAGCGGAATAAAATCAGTTCATGATAAATCTGAGACTTTAGTCTGAGGTGTGTATTTTTCCTTGACCATTGTGTGGGAAGATTCTAAAGACATTTTAAGCCGGATTCCATTTTGAAGTACCTTAAATGTTACATTAGCCCAAATCTGGACCATATACGAGCGTATCTTTCTACAGATTCATATCCCACCATTCTGTGATTTACTTAGCTCAGCCAACATTGTGTACAAAAACAACAGACCTACCACATGCGGCATCGATAAGTGGTCCAACATGCAAGTCATAGAAAGGTCTCAGATCGACTATGTGAATAGTGAATAATAAAGTTTTTGATCGATGTATAATGTTGGGTGTTTTAGAAGGAAATCTCTATGAAAATTGTCAAAAAAAACCTCTTAACATATTATGGTTCTAAAAACTGAAAACAAAACCCAAAACCCCTATCTTTCCGACACCACCCGTGCCACCAGCTATAAAAATAGCTTTTACCAATATAGGGAAGAGTCAGATATTTTGGACGGTCGAGATTAATGTTCTTGGTATGTTGTAAATTCAAAGATTGCTAGGCTTTCAAATATGTTTTCTCAACTTCATATTTACTCCAAAGATATTAAATTTTCTTATTATTGAACAGGTTTTGTTTTCTGAAATTTAACGATTGCTTCCCCCAAATACTATATTAAATTTATCTCATTTTTGAATAGGTTCTGTTTTCTCAAATTTATTTTTGTAAAATAGTATAGCACGTTGTACTAAACCACTCACTTTGACATATTGTCTTACATTTCTAACATATTTGTTGTGTTTATATTTTGTTAGAGCCGACGGCCAAGTTGTATAAATAAAAAAAAATACAAGAAAGATTGTAAACTTCGCTAAAGATATGGTGCAGAAGGTTTTCTTATGGGGCTTCTTTCTGTACTAATGAAGACGGACATGCTAGGCGATTTTCCCTGCCAGTCCCTCCGCCCTGCCCCCACTGACAAGGGCAGACCACGCTGGAAAATCGAATCTGTGACCTTCTGGTTAGAGAGCCTGCGCCTTATTCACCAAACCACCGTTACTAAATAAGCCTGTTCCTTCGACAATTGCGCATCGGTACACAGTCTTCGATTTTTGATACGGCGTCACAACTCTAAGATCCCGTGATAACGTCATACTCGGTTCCTGGTCTATATATCACTGTTAAATCTCACGAAAACGCTTTATAGCTCCTCTTTAAGATACGAATAGCCTACTCAATCTACCTGAAATTAAAATTCTCGATTCAAGTTTGGAACTTGCCATCTGCTTTTAAGTGGGTCATCCTGTACACTTTATTAAAACACTGAAAGGTTTGTTTCTAACTTGTAAACAGACAGGCAAGCTTCCGGGCAGATGTTGTAGACCATCTCGCACCTATCCCAAACGGCCAATATAAAATAAATCATGTGTACTATTAAAGAAGAGGCAAGAGGTAACAGGTGGATTTGGAGGATCTGGGTCTGCTGTAGTAACATGTAGTTAATTTATCATAACTCTATGTTTATAAACTTCTATGAGTGTTCAATCTATTTTTGTACCAATAAAACAAACCACTGTATCGGGATCTAGCCTTTTATTACAATTTATGTTTTGTAGTGGCAGAAACAGCTTTTTAAGCCAAGGGGGGCAAAGAAAGTGACGAAAGATAGCAAAGGGTAGAGATGCGCGAAATTGTTTGGGGTATTTATATTTTTTCTCTCATATTAAATATACGCGATTAGTGTATCAGGTCGGAATCACGAAGGGCTGCATCTCCCGTTGCCCATTTCGTGATTTATTTTTTAAAGGGCGAATAGCTCTAGACGAAACTGGGTCTAAAAGCATATATCAATGTTATATGAATGTATATAAAGTGATTTATATCCAAATTTTATAATTTTATTGTAATTCTAATCAGTCCAAATTGAACGTCGGTCATTTGCGCATGCTTAGTCCATTTTCTTTTTTTTTTTGTTTTTTTTTTGTATTTTTACTTTCTTTTTGAGAATCAGTCATTTTTAATTACTTCCTAATTGTCTTGTGTGATATGTTTTTCTTTGGTCATTACAAATGGCGCTCAAAATCATTATTTCCATAGAATACACGAGTCGTGTACTGATTTAAAAATATTCATTGTGTATTGGATATTAGGATAACATATTTTCACGGTAAGATAATATCAATTTGATTGAAATGGACCAATATTGAATTTTAATTTGTGTTTTTAATTTCCAATATAATGGATGATATTGAATTAGAGATTTAGCGCCTTTAATGTAAAATGGCATTTGCGCTTTGATCAGTAAAAAGTAATTATCAGTTGGACGTGATTTTTAAAACTATACAATCACATCGTGGGTACAAAATTCAGATAGCATGCAAATTTGAAATTTGAGACCAATCGGTAAATCCATCGCTGAGATGATTATAACAAAATTTAATTGTCAGTTTTTGAGTGGTACAAATCTAGTTTTACTGTGTTCGTTATATTAAAGTGTATATATATCCAGAGATAGAATTATAATATATTACCCCGAATATCAATAACTAACAGTCTTTACATTAAAACAGTACTCATTTGAGATATATATGAATATCAGGCTTGTTAAAGCATTTAACATAATGAATATTACTTCGTCTTAATTTTTAACAATTCTATCTTTACAGTGTCAGTTTTATTTAAACGGAAATATAGAGCGTTAGAATTACAACATATAATTCTCAGAATTATCAGTCTTTACATTAAAATAGAGATATAAACGAACGATCTGGTGTATTGTGACTTTTCAAATATAGGGTTTAACGTCCTACTGTTCTGCTCCGACTGGGCTAATGAAGATGAACATACGCTATACAGTGTGCTATGGGGGGAAATTTTGCTCAGACAGCGGTGTTATGGCCTACTCTTATATCGAATCCCAACTGTCAGGGCTTGTTTTTTCGTCTGCACGCCATTGTGTACACGGAACATCGGTTTTTCGTCCCATCCGAACGACTATAAGTTGTCTCCTGCCAGGCCCTCTGTCCTGTATCACTGGCCAGGGGGAGCCATGCCGGAAATCCCGATGAACTTTCTCGGCCAACACCATAATCGAACACGGGACCTCCAAGTTAGCGAGCCAACGTCTTACTTACTGAGCCACCGCGACTCCCATAATTGTAATATATAAACCATAATTGTGAATAATTATATGTATCACTACAGTGACATTTCAAACTTTATATATTTGACCAAAACTGTTTGTTCTACTGCACGATAATTCTCTGACATTTGGATAATGAATGCTGACATTTCTTTAAGCGATTATCAACAGGGCTTAATTATTACTGTGTTAATTAGTGATTTGACTTGCAAAGAACACTTACAGTTATCAATGAAGTGGTGTCTCACCGGGGAGCTGATTATTGGTTGTATATTTGAATAGGAAACGGTTCTCGCAGTTATCAATGAAGCGGTTTCTAATATTAACTGTTCACTTGATAGGGGGTGTACTACTATATTAAATATATAGTTTAATTCATGTTAGTATTAGTTTTAACTTTAAAGTTTAAAGTACACATCTTAAACCAATGTTGAGATAAAACCGGTTGTCTTTCATTATCGTCACTTTAAATCACATACGAAACTTACGCTGTATTTCTACAATTAGCTTCGCTTGAGAACAGATACAAAGCTGATTGACCGACATTTGAATATCTTACATCGACGATTTTAGTCGACAACACTATGTACACTGTATACTAATAGTAAGTGCATGGGGACTGCACCACACACCAAAAATTACACAAGACAAATTTACGGACAAGACACAATACGCAGAAATCACAAACAAACGAACATATCAGATTTAATAGAATTGTAGCAGTGTAAATCTTCGATAATAACTAAAGACTGGAACTATCCTTGAGACTATTTATTACCGGAAAACATTAAACATCATATACGGAGAACAGCACGTCCGACAAGCAGAGTAACTGTCCTGGAAACGGGATGAAACCTAGAATGCTAAATAAATGTTATACAAATCGGTATTATAATAAAATAGTATCTAAGGAATTAACAATATACCCCAACTATACTAATAACAATTAAAGAGGTAAGATTAAAATATAAAAGAGATTGCAATAAAATAAAACAATAACGTAGTAATTAAACTCATTAATGTGTCAGCTGTCAACCGTCTGTCAATAGCTTAGTAGCTTAACGTCTAATTAAAACGACGTAATTTTGGACTGGTATAGAATGAAAATGTTTATTTAGTGTTTGTGTGTTTGGAAGATGTGAAACGGATTAGAATCATGTAACAAAATACTACTTTATTTTTTCACCATGACTGTCATTCAGGGCAGAGTTCTGTTTTCAAAGTTCACATTTCTCGGTGTGAAGAATTATTAAGCCAAAATGGTACTATAATTAATAAATAAGCCGACTACCGTTTGATACTTTTGAAACAAAAGTGTATTCCTATAGATAGGTCTTTCTCCATCAGTAATCAAAATAACACATCAGATCAACTGAATTCGATACTTTATTTTGACCAATATCAAATTGGTTGATCTCATTTATTTCTCACTACAGTATATATCTGACACAATCGGCGCAATTCCTCGGTAAATTCCGGTAATTTCCGGAGTCTTTTCAAATATAGAGCGATAATTTACATCGATAGAACCAGTAACATGTCCTTTGGAATGAGTGCTTCCAATCGTCAAATTCCCTCTTCCCGTTTTTTTTATAACAATTTATTTTGGCTAAACATATTAGCGTTACCAGACACTATTAGAAGAAGTTAATTGAAAACCCTTTATATTTACGACTTTATTAATTTTTTCAGGATTTTAGTTGGTGCTCCTCAAGCTAATGATTCCAATCTTGCTGAGATTAAAAGACCTGGTGCCTTATATAAATGTTCTACAGAATATACAAATCACTGTGAAATAGTTGAAATACATTCACAAGGTAATTTTAAAATGTAGTTTTGGGGTATAATGCTCGAGATAGGGTATGCATAATAATCATAATATTTCTGGAACACCACACCTTATTGATTTTGCATGTATTAAACATTGCACGATTAGCTGCAGGATTATTCGCTTCTCTCGGAAGCCTTTAAAGACGCTAGAGAGAAAAGTATTTTGACATTTGCGTGGTTGAATCGTATCACCATCAGTAAAAAGATTACCGAAAATCGGCTTGCTCATTTAGTTTTTACTAATTATAGGCTATTTGACCAGCTTTTGTCCGTTTTGTCCCTAATTTGATAACCCCGGTGCTTTGTAAGCAGTGGGTTGTGTTAGCGTACAACACTCCTTGAATTTCAGTTTCAGTTTCAGTGGCATTGGTTTGGTTGAATGAGTTAGTTATTGGGCTTGTCTGTATATAAAATTGCTGATGGCTGAAGGGGCTGAACATGTCGTTGGTCAGGACTCAATGGCTTCCCATCCATGGTATCCCTAAGTGGTCCGATTCCGTTCCACTCCACTTACTCCTTGGTTCATCAGTGGCGGAGACACGTATTGACATTACCTGCATAACGACTTGCAACTGCCTGTTTTGACTGACTTAAACATCTATCCCACCAAAAAGATGTTTTATGACCTCTTTTTGTTTGCATGCCACTTCTTTTATATTAACTTTCTTGCAAACTTTCTCATAATCGAGCACGCCGCCATATTGTTGTGAACGTAAACAATGGGGCTAAGACTGGTTTGTAAACAGTACTGTTTTGTGATTGGTTCGTAGAATCAAGCTACGATCAAGGACAGATAATTTGAATACTTGAATACCCCATGGATGAAGCCAGGGTATAGTAGAGTAGAACGGAATGAGACCACTGGGAGTACCGAGGATCGTGGCTTCCTCGCTAAATACCCACTGTTTAAAACCGCTGTCGTCATTGGTAAATGTTTTTGTATTCATACTGACGATGTATTTGTATATTATTACCAGGTAATATAAAACAGACAGTACAGAAATGGAAGAATATAACATTGCATCATAGTAAACAAGATCAATGGCTTGGAGCATCTTTAGATGTTAATATTGATGGTGATGATAGTGTAGTGGTAAGAATCTATGACGTGTATCGCCCCTAGTACGGAATTAATATCTGGATTAAGATTGGAATACCCCATCAATCGCCATTCCTCGATATATTCAAACATTTGCACGTGTTCCAGGGGTATTATATGCACGGAGAAACTACACTAGGGATTCACGTCCGTTTCTACCCAGACAGATCGCAGATAGATGTGTCTGAAGACACTGATAGTACAAAACCTGTCGGAACGATGGTGCACAGAAAACCACGCAAAAAAGGAATCTAGCGAAAGGGGAAATACCCCGCCACCGCAACCCTCAGTAGAATCAAATAGGCTATACCGGTACCTTGCTAAAAAAGCCTAGTAAATGAAGCAAAAACGAAACGGATTATATGAAACATGGGTCCGTCGAATCGAACTGCCGAGCGATGTCCCTGGTGGATTGCTTTCACATCCTGGTGAAAAATGACATCGTTCTCACTTGCCTTCCAGTTCATTTAAAGACAGCAGTCTCCCACGTTGTACGGCAACGCCTTACACCGACGAATACATTAAAGTTGGTCGATTTTAAAATGGGCATCGCTTTAAGTATCTTGTAAAACATAATGTTTTGGGCAAGAAATAAATATATTTTACCTTGCTGTTAAAATCATTTCTAAGTCCAATTACACCAGTTACTTACAATTAGTGACGGATGCCGTGCTGGGTGCAGGGTATCCTTACTTCTCATTTGAGTAGGTCAGATGGTTGTATTCGATCTGATTGTTAGGTATTTGAGTTATCCTCTTTAAATATCTTTAACCGCAGATTAAACAATATTTTTCAGGTGTGTGCACCAAGATGGCGGGATAGAGAGTACTATGTACAAGGCCACGAATTTATGAATGGATTATGTTATGAGTCTAACAGTGATTTAAAATTTACAGAAACCAGTGTTTGGCCAGCTTTAGAGTTTTATAAGAAACAAATTCATTCAACGGGAGTATATGTTTACGGAATGGGTACTCTGGGTACTTCGGTTACATATTCGAAGGTATGTAGTGTTAATAAAATATAGCCACACGGTTGTATGTTGGATTCTCACTATAGATGTATGTCCAGTCCGTGTATCCACCATGAATAAGACACGTTATTTCTGTAGTCCAATCGAGCCATATAGCTAGGTAGGAAATAAAACTAAACGGGGATTGGCGTCCTACAGTTCTGCACTGACTAGGCTAATGTAGACTGGCACGTGTCTTAGAATGTGTTATGGTCTACTCTTATTTCGAATTCCTACTGCCAAGGGTTCTTTTACGTGCACGCCAACGTGTACATGGGACCTCGGTTTTTCATTCCATCCTAAAGACTAGACAGCTGTCCTTGCCAGGCCCTCCATCCTGCATCACTGATAAGGGAAAATGGCGCTGGAAAATCTCCGAGAACTTTTTCGGCCAACACCGAGATCGAAACCCGTATTTCCTAGTTAGCGAGCTACCACCTTCTCACTGAACCACCACGACAGTGAAAGGTAATTTAGTCCGACAATTCGGTATGATGCAACGAAATGGCCTCACTGTGCGTCCTGCATGACAAGGGTCGCGAAATAGCGGCACTCCAAAAGCCGGACAAAAGGTGATAAAAGATTTACTTCATTATAATCTGGTTGTGTTAATTTTTCAGGACGGTAGATATTTATTGATGGGAGCACCTGGTATAAATGATTGGGCAGGTAGATAATTATCTTTATATTACCTTTCTTAAAATATATTTTATCTGATAAATTAGAAAGTAACTGATTTTAATCCGCGTATTTATTGTATATAAAAACGCGTTTGCCCCGAAGCTCTCCAAGTTCTTCGTTCAATATTTCTAATGGGGAGTGGAAAACGTTGTAAATCACAATGCCTTTTATCTATGCAAGTTGCGGATTCGATCCCGGGTTTGGACTGACAATCAGTTAAATGGCAATTGCAACTCATGTGAGTTGTTTATACAAAGATAAAGACAGTGACGTCCACCCAATACTTAAACAAACCATCCCCGATATCAACGCGAACATTTGGAAATATATTTAGCAATCCAGAGCTGTCTATCCCAATTTAAAACCGTTAGTTTTTATCTTGTTTCCCATTCGACTGTGGACTCGAAAGAATTATATACACAAGATTTTGATAAAAAGATAATTGTAATTAATAGTTTATTTAGATCAATTTAGGTCTAGCAGTGGGAGTATCCTATAGGTACAAGCACGGGATCCAAATCATTAAATAAAGATCGGCATTACAATGTGTTATGGGGCAAATTGTTCTCGGGCAGCGGCGCTACTGCCTATTTTTGTCAAAAGTTGTTTTACGTGCACGCCAATGTGTACACGAGACCTCTATTTTTCGTATCATCTGAACAACTAGACATTGCCCTTGACAAGACCCTACATCCTGCATCTTGACAAGGCGAAACCACATCGGAAGGCCCCGAGGAACTTTCTCGGCCAACAACGTGAGCGAACCCGATAACTCTAAGCTCGCGATCCAGCGTCTAACTGACTAACCCACTGCGATTTACGTCCCACACTGGTAATTGTATAAGGAATTATGCTCTTCGTACAGGGGCATTAGTAAGATTAGATAAAGAGCTGACAGTTTCGCTATAATAATTAAAAATAGATAATGAAAAGGGGATATGTTGAAAATTTCTATCCCCGTTAGAAGAACAGACAGTTTAGACTCGTTGTTAAGATAATAAACAAAGTCTCGTTTGTCCATTTTTAAATTAAATCATTAACTGTCAATGGTATTTAAATCTGTTGAAAATCTCCAGCATCCGATGGCATCGAGAGTTGATTATGGTCTTGGTAAGTTAATTAAAGTCTAAATGATAATTTATATAACATTTAAGGCATAGAGAAAGACCTGCAATAGGCAGATTTAGCTCTTGCATAATGTATCTTTAATATTAATATTGTATTAGTAAATCTGATCCTGTCTTTTTTTCATGTTTTCAGGTGGTTTTGCTATTGTCAGTGGTAGATACGATGCTCGGCCGAAAATAGTTCAACCTGAAAGACTACTATATAATAACTCTTATTTAGGTAAGTTGGACGTTAAACCACACCTTTGTGCTCATTAAAAGCGCAATTTTTCCCCGGTAACTGCCGAATCGTTTTAGTTTTAAAAAATTATAAGGAAATAAACACAAATGTCGTAGACTTCATGTATTTTGTATTTTTATGTTGTAGGTTACTCAATAACGACAGCCAGACTGTCTGCTGACGGCATCTTCACAGTGATTGGTGGACCAAGGGCAGATAATCAAGGCAAGGTTAGATCCTCGGCGTGTTTGATTCTTGGGACTTAACCAGTTCATTATACCTAATCACTCAGTAACTCATTTTGGCTGGACAAACACTAAAGTAACGTCTGTTTGATCAGAGAATGTGTAATGGATGTCAAGATCTAACATGGATCAAACACGCCGTATATGAGAGCACCGTATGACGCAACGTCATAATATATATTTCCATTTCTATTTCTGATAGTTTTAACCATGCAGCCCATCTTCTTAGCTCTGTATAGCAATCAAGCGGTTACGAATCTAAAGGATTTAATCAAAATGACTGATGCATGTAGAGTTATTTATAAAACGGTATAGATTCGGATATATATATCTTTATTTTCTCCAGTTCTGCATAATAAATACATAAGATTATAAATTCATAAGATTATATACACAAGATGACAATTAAACAGAAATGAGTTAATATCAATATTATATATCAATATAATATGGTATTAAAATTATCAAACTGAATCACAAATAATACTGATCATTACTTAAAAGAGACATTTTGACCTGCCTTTCAACGGAAAGGAAATGAAATGAAATGGGTTTAACGTCTTACTGTCCTGCTCCGAATGGGCTAATGAAGACAGGCATACGCCATGCAGTGAGCTATGAGTGAAATTGTGCCGGGACAGCGGCGTTACGATCTACTCTTATATCGAATTCCAACTTCCAAGGGATCTTTTACGTGCACAGTGTATACGGGACCTCGGTTTTTCGTACCATCCGAACGACTAGACAACTGTCCTTGTCAGGCCCTCCGTCCTTTACCACTGACAAGGGGAACCACACCGGAAAATCCCAATGAACTCTCTCGGCCAACACCGGGAGCGAACCCGCGACCTCCAGACCAACTAGCCATCGTCTTAATCACTTATCCACCGTGGCTCTCCTCCCTTATAACACCGAATACAAACGTAAAATACATTGTTATACAGGTAAATATGCGTCTGATTTAAATAGCGTTTTGTTTGGATCAAAACATATTATGAAAGATAAAAATTGTAGTTCATTGAAGATTAAATAAGTCATTTTTTTTTGGGGGGGGGGGGTCTGTCTAGTTTTAATAAGAATAATTTTCCTACGCTGTCAAAGTACATTACTGCATAAACGACAATGCAAGAAAACATAAGGGTTTTTATAAATATAAGGCAACAGTCTTTATACTGGGGACGGGAACGCCAGAATGAAAATATAAGTTGAGGGAAAACTCTCTTTGGATACACCCGAATAAATCAAACATTTGATCGGACTATAAGCGGTTATTACAAACAGTGCAAGAAAGAAAACAATTGAACTTTTTCGAAAACTCCTGTCTAGAATAAACGAGGGAGACTTTATTCCTCAACCATTAAAGTTCCATTTACAACGGTGTCCTATCTTTTGGCTATGATCATGGTTTATCATTAATGTTTTTAGCTTATGGTCTATGATGACAACAATTAAATTATGGTCTATGATGACAATAATAGAATTAGGGTGTATGTTTCTGATGACAATAATAGAATTATGGTTTATGATTAATGTTTTTAGATTATGGTTTACAATGACAATAATAGAATTATGTTGACAAAAGATGGAGAGCAGGTAAGCTGTTTTAAAAAAAAGCTCGATATATAAAGAAGAAATCTAAAAGATACATACCGGATCAAGTGTTAAATGTATTCAGTGATTGTAAAGGCACAATAGTTCGGACTAAAAGGAAAAAAGACTTTAAGACCATACACAATCCTGTTATGGTCATCCACTGCCGTTATCTTTATTGTCTTATAATAGTCTGTCAACTCATTTCTATTTAAATTACTTTCTACCACTTTTAAGACATTATTTTTGTTACTGGTTTTCTGGAGCATTGTGCCTTTAGTAATATTTCTATTTTACTTCAATATTTATTTAGAACTTTATTATTTCATGTTGTAGTTCGGCAGTTATTATGGAGCATCTGTTATATCAGTTGATTTAAACGGTGATTCTTTGGATGACTTAGTTGTTGGTGCACCATTGTTTACTGAATTATATGATGAAGGCAGAGTCTATGTGTACATCAACAAAGAATTTGTACGTATTACTCTTATAATTTACACAAACAAATTATTAGTTTTGGGGGTTAATGCACGCGTTTTCATATTTCATAGACCAGGATAACTTATTGTATTTTTAAACAAATTCTCTGTATTTTAGTTCGATATGGAACCGACGCCAGCGCCGTTAAAGGGATCAAACAGTCCGGCTGCGAGATTTGGCACGACTCTAGCAAATATCAAAGACTTAAACAACGATGGGTTTGAAGGTATGGATGTCAACAGTCTGTGTATAAAGTTCACCAGATGATGCTGATACATAATCTAAATTCAGATTTCATTAACAGTTAAGAGATGTCATATATTTTGGCAAACTGCACATATATACATAGATATAAAACTGGAATTTGTCATGTTTCTAAATACAAATTGTCAGTAACACTGGGGTTTGGGTGGGTGGGGTGGGGTGTAATACAGTGTGCTATCGAATACCAACTGTTAAGGTTTCTTTTACTACGTGCACGCCAGCGTGTACACGACTAGACGCGATTCCTTACCATGTCCTCCGCCTTTGCCATAAAATAGGAGGCAAGCTACAGTTATATATTTAAGGCACGGACCTCGGTTTCATCCCATTCGAACAACTATACCACCGACAAGGGGAAACCAAGATGGACAATCTCGAGGAATGTCCTGGGCCAACACAGGAATCGAGCCCCGAATCTCGTGAGAAGGTCAATATTGCTCCCATAATATTAAAAGGCCTCTTAGTATAAATATTTCCAATTCCCCCAAAAGTTGGCAAAATTTCCTTCATAACACACTACATTCGGTATGCTCGTCTTCATTAGCCTGCTTGGTGACGAAAAATAGGATGTTAAACCCCATTATATTTTATTTCTCAATATTGCCTCACGTGTAACTATTATCAAGGCCAGATATAAATGGATTCCCATTGGACATTAACTGCGCTACATCCACATCACTCTTTGGCGGTAATGAACAAAAAATCTATTTTAATAATTTTGTATTTTAAAGATATAGCTGTGGGTGCTCCATTTGAAGAAACTAGTGGAGTTGTGTATATATATAATGGTAAACTATCTGGCATACATCAGGAATATTCACAAAGAATCGTCGGAAGTGACCTCAAACCATCTTTACTGGGTTTTGGTTGGTCAATTTCAAGACCACACGATGTGGATGGGAACTTTTATTCTGGTAAGCTTTACGTCTTTCTGGTTTGGTCTGTCTAATTGAGTATGTCCAAATTTCTGACAAGGATCCCGCCATATGCACGAGGAGGGTTTTCTTATCCGATTCCATTTATGAACTGGCATAGCTACTAATCGTTTATAGTACAAATAGTACAATAATATTCCCGCTAGCTTCTAAATTCAACCAATGTATGCTACTTTCGTTTCATGTCGTGCATTTGGAAGCCACAGATAGCAATTTTCCGAGAAAAATACGTCGATGTAGCTGACATGTGTCTCATAATTAATAACCAGCTACAATTTTGTTTGTTTTCTGTTATATAGATTTTGTAGTAGGCGCCTATGGTTCTGACAACGCTGTACTTCTGGCAGCACGACCTGTAATTGACTTACGGTCCCGTCTAGACATAAATCCTCGTGTGATCGACCCTGATGGTACACCTAATTGTCTGTATCGTGGAGCCCCAGCCCAGTGTTTGAAAGCAATGGCGTGTTTTATTTATGATGGAAATAATTTACCTAAAACACAGAGTAAGTAGTTATGTATAATACATAGCCTCCGAAATTATTTGACCGTTGACCTCCTCATTGATTCCTTAACCTTTTATCGACCCCTTATATTATTTTTTTTTTTGATACGAAAAAATCTATTAAGTCGTATCGAGAGGAGAGGGAAAATGGGGTTTAACGTCCACTCGACACAAACTAGGTCATTTCGGGATATTGTCGTCGCCCCCGTCCGTCCGTCCGTCCGGCGTCTACAATTGCTTGTGAACGCTCTAGAGGAGTGATTCTCAACCAGATCTTCCTAAGTGTGCCGCGGAATTGTGAAAGGCACGGTAAGAAAATGCGAAAAACCACATGATCCTAATTGAGTATTCGCTGATAAGTTCATAGATGTGACGCGAGATCTTCCTAGGTGTGCCGCGGTGTTTTGAAAGGCACACTAAGAAAATGTGAAAAACCACATGATCCTAATTAAGTATTCGCTGATAAGTTCATAGACGTGTTTTTCTTTATTTAGTTTAAGCCAATCTATGTTTCTACGACTAGTCTCTGTCTACGATTGTATGCCGCCTGACTTAAAAGTCATGTTTTTATTTTACAAAATTCAAATATTTTTCATATATATTTAGCCAGGTGTGCCGCTATTTTTTCGTGTGTTTCAAGGTGTGCCGTTGGCAAAAAAGGATTGAGAACCACTGCTCTAGAGGCTAAAGTTAATATCCGATTGACTTTAGATTTTAACACAGTGTTTAAGGTCGTGAGATGAAGAGGCCCAGTGATTTTCAATGATCACTTTGAAAAATCTTGTGGTTGCCCTAGAGACCAAAGTTATCACCTGATTGACTTTAGATTGATACGCAGAGTTTAAGGTCTTGAGATGAACAAGTATATTGATTTTCAATGAATTTTAATAACTTGAACAGCTAAATCCATTATATGTCAAGTCGTATTGAAAGGAGTGGAAACAATGGAGTTTAACGTCCTATTTTTCTGCACCGAATTCCAACTGTCTTGGGATCTTGCACTTGTGCGTCAGCGTGTACACATGACCCCTGTTATCGTCCCATCCAAACGACTAGATACTGTCCCTTGCCAGACCCATTTCCTGCGCCACTTACAATGGAAAAACATATCGAGGATGTTTCTCGGGGAACGAAATAGATACCTCCTGGTTAGCTAGCAAGCCAGTGCCTTATTAACTGGGCAACTGTCTAATAAAGGTAGTTTTTCGATTTGTGGCAAACACTATCCCGAAACTTACAGTTAGTAATTCTTTAAAAACTTGTCCAGAGATTTTCACTGGGCTAGGATAAAGTTCTCTAAGGAACCTTCACATAGAAATAACCATACATACTACCCCTTTAATTTATCAGATTGGACTAGAATCTCTTGTAATTCTCATTTTATGGAATGAATAAAAGCGCATAGACCTGGCGGATATATAAAACTTACAATTATTTAATTTTATTTTTAGCGGTCAGTTTTACACTAAGGCTTGACACTCTACCACGACACCGCCAAGAAAGACAGCGTTTGTTTGTTCGAGATCGTTACGGAGACGAAACGGAAGTGCTGAAAGATACAATTAGTTTACGTGTTGGAAGCTGGAATTGTGGTCAGTCATACACAGTGTATACTAAGGTAATTAATATAGATTCTTGTCTTTAAGGTTTGCACCCAGTATTTAAACAAAAATTGCGATGCAGCTAAAAGGGGTTTCAGAGCTGACCCGATTTTATCAAACAAAAATATAGGAAAGTAGCTGATTTTAAGTAGAAATTATTTTCATAGAATACCTGGAGATTCTTTCACGTTGTAATTTTAAGAGATTTAAAGCTTACAGACTTCAAAATGGCTTCGTTCTAAAATATAGGTTAACAGTACCCTACAGTGAAATGTTACAAAAAATCGAAAGGCTATGCCATTGAAATCTTGGGTCGCGAAATAAATCGGATAGTTTTGAACGATGCAACTCAAGCCGTGTATTGCTAGAGTAAAGGTTAAATAAACCCTTTCGGCTCATTTAAAATGAAAAGTACTCTTTCCGAGAGGCTTATTGGTCGAAAAGGTATTCAAATTAATCAACCCTATCGTAAATTATGATCATTTAAAGAATGAATTTGGTTTCTACCAAAGAAATTTTATTTTATTTGAGAATAAAAACCCAATTCCGATTAAAAATTATTCAGATCTAATCCTCTTAGATCGAAATAAAGTCATGATAACTATATAGTAAAGCCAAACGAATCGCGAGGAAATGGCTAAGATTTCGTCAATCTGGTTAAAACACAAATCCTATTTCGTTTCGTTTTTATAGTTCAAAATTTCGTTTGACTTGTCTTTACTACACTTGGATCTGGAAGAGGTGTTATTTAACTCGTGTTCTGAATGGTGTCAGGGATAAGCCAATGAAACGGCCTGTTACGACGAGCTTTAGGCGCGTCTTTTACGGAACTGTGGGTAATCCACTAGTAACATCAATGCTGATTGGTTAATCAAATGTCTGACGTCATAGGGTCATAAGTCGGTCGTTTGACCCCTGACGTGACCTATCGCTATAACTTGTCAGATCTTCATGTAGTGTAGGCCATCGAAAGTATAAAAAAACCGAAACGAAATATAGATCTGTATTTTAATCAGATTGAGATTTCGTCTACAACATCCAGTTTAGAAAACGGCCAGTATGGATAGCCCGATAATATATATTTGAGAACAAATTACATATTAGTTAAAACACAAACCTTAGGCAGGTTATAGTAGTATAATAATGTATCCAATTATTATCTAAGGGCCTGTTCACACTTGCCCATTCTCCTGTCCGATATTCAAATTGCATTTCCTTATATATATATATATATATATATATATATATATATATATATATATATATATTAAAATATGGGTCTTCTTATACATTTCAGAAAAGTCGTGATATTGTGACACCTCTACAGTTTGATTTGAACCACACCCTGGCACACGATAAACTAGCTCCACCCTGCCATATCTGCCCAATCGTCAACCCATACAGTTTTTCCGAAATGTCAGCAACGGTAAGTAGATTTTATGAGGTAATTCTTCATATTAACTGTAATATGAGAAAATGTAATGAAATAGGGCACACCGTCTTACTTTTCTACCAGGATAATGAATGATTTTGTCCAGACAGCGGCGCTACGGACTACTCTTATTTCTCATTTCCTGCTTCAAGGGTTCTGTTACATGTATGGCAATGTATAGTTGTTCGTCCCACCTCTTTGTCCTACACCAAAGTCAAGGAAATCCACGCCGGAAAATACCGAGGAACTTTCTCAGCCAGCACCGCGAGAGAACCCTAGACCTCCTGATCTCACTGCGCCACCACCACTTTCTTGTGATATGAGATGTTCTGTATAAGGACGGGAAAGCATTGGCTCATAAAATGTATTTACTCATCTCCACTTTCACTTTCAGGCACACTTTTGGAAAGACTGTGGATCTGACGATGCGTGTGAAGCGGACCTCGTTCTGAGTACCGACGTCATCTACAAAAACAACGGCAAATACTTGATCTTAGACGAATCACCGTCGTTTGAGGTTCAGGTCGGATTGTACAACGTTGCCGAATTAGCCTACTTTACGGTTGTCCGATTCCGATATCCTAAAGACGTTCGTTACGGTAGGGTCAAGACAATTGTTGGGAATTCGGAAATTATTTGTCTGTCGAAAAAGGACAACCTTGACAACAGTACCGATATGATGGAATGCGATATTTCGCATCCATTACGAAGCAGAGAGGAGATCATCTTCACCGTCCGTTTCATAACCGAGCAATATTCCTTTAACCTTGACGAGTTTAATATTACTGTGGAAGCTGAGACAGCCAGTACTGACCTAAACCTGAGAAATAACCAGAAATTGGCAACAATACAAGCTCGTGTTGAAGCATCACTAAGCTTAACTGGGTAAGCATTAAGCAGTGTTGTAAAACGTGCCTGGCGCTCCCCTATACGTGTAGTTTGTTTGGTGACTATAATGACAGCCTTAACGAGACTCCGTTTCCCAGCCATTCCTTTTTTCGGGTTTGTTTCTGTTTTGATTCCGACACTTTAACACCATTCATTATACATCGAATGAAAGCTTGAATTCTTCCAAAACTGCATAAATTTTGGAAGTTGTGGCCAAAACATTATGACCTTGGTGAAAAATGCACACATATGATAGATGGGAGGCCTATTTCTATTTTTTGGACACAAATTTCTTTACACAAGTTATCTAAATGCCGACAATGCATCTTTGGAAAATCGAGCGGTTCAGCTTTCCTCCCGTGCATAATATAACGTGAGGTATGCCACGGAAGGAATCGGCGTTAAGGTTCTAACTCTCCACTGAAGGCCATCCAATGCAAAAAAGGCTCACCGTAGAGCTATTCTAACTATAGGACGTTTTCCGCAAAATATGTCTGTGTGAAATACGTTAGACGTAAACCACGTTTAGTTTGTGATTCGTTCCGTTTAGTAAGACTCCGGCAAAAGTTTGATTTGTTTCTTTTCCAGAGCCGCCATTCCAGCTCAACTACAGCTTGATAAGAAGGTAGAAGACGATGAAGGTGATTGGTTAGAAATGAAGCAAGTATTTGATGTTAGAAATCACGGACCTAGTCCCTTCCCCCATGGCTTTCTGATTCTTCTGGCACCAAATTCACAATATATTTCTGTTAAAGACGTACAGGTAATATTATAATTAAACGATTAACTTTGTCGTTACTTCAACAAAATCGTTATCACTGACAGACACTTAATGGGCATTTTCCTGTTTGTCTTTAGATAAGATCGGAAGATGAAGAATACAGTATTGGAACAGGTTGTACTATGGTATGGACGCCATCGATCGACAAACCACGGGCATCGTTTAAACTTACTAAATATTCCTCTAATGATGACCAGACGGATTATGTAAAAGAACGAGAACTGGTAAGACTAATCAGTATTGTATCCGTCCGTCAATTAGACCAAGTTTTTAATCCGCGGTTACCAAGGCTATGCAGTAAAAACAAACGACGTCTGGTCTTGTAATTTTGAGAAAAGAGGCACTCTGTAATGGATTTTGCGAGCAGTATACCGATTAACTGATAAAAAAAAGTGACAGTGGAACCCTAAAAGAATCTAACAGGGTCGTTCAGACGAGTTATGCTAAATCATTAATGTACCACCTTAAAGGGGGCGGGAATCAAACCGGTTAACCCTGTGTGGAAGACTCCCGAAATCTCTGTGGTGCTTTCATGCTATCCCTTATATATTCAAGTCCACATACTTACCTGTTAATCAATGGCAATAAAATAAAACCAAGTACGAACAATCCAAACCATAATACAGAATTCGAAGTCCTAAAAAACGTTATAGGCAAAACTCATACAGTTGAGCAATGATATTCCTGAAATGATTAACGTAAATCTATTTTGGCTTTTAGTGTTTGTCTTGTATACTTAAACCCACTGTGAAACAATGAACTGCTTTTTAACAATATATATATGCCATGATCGGATTTTAGACTCTTAGCAGAAACCATAATCGCGATATCAAAGAAATTCATCGGGGTTGAGAAAAACGTCTCGGTTTCTCATATTTTAATCGCGCACTTTGAATTTGTATTTTTCAGATTTGTTCCCCAGAAGAATGTCTTAATATCACGTGCTATATTGATACACTGGGAAAAAATAATGGCGTCTATTTGACAATTACTTTCGAATTAAAAAAATCCATCATGCAAGATTTAAAGGTAATTTTTTAGTATATTTTATTTAATATATCTATAGTCAAGGATAGACAATCGTGTCTCTTCAGATATATTTTGTTTTTTCAGTGTATTTTTTAGCTCGAACAGCTAACGCAAACTGTTATCATGATTAATGTAGCCCCGCTATTAATAGCAATTCCTTCTTTCTCCCCATAACCCTCCTTTGCATAAGTGCTTTTTTTTTGGGGGGGGGGGACTTTTTGGTTTAAAATCGAAGAAGAGTGTTTGAATTTCTAGCAGGACGTCACTGCCAATAGATTCCTGTATCTAGGTCTAGCAAAATATCTCCCCCCTTTCAATATTTTTACCAGAAGATTTTATTCTCTATGCGGGTATAAAGATTAAGATCATCGGAGTGTTAAAAATATGCCATAAAAAGCCAAGAAACATCATGGATTTAACACTGAAGTCAATGGGTGGAAAATGACAGGTCCGAGACCAACTGGGAACATTCCCTTCTTGAGTTGCTTCCCCTGAAGTACAACATCAAATACACTACAATTTTTGTTTAATGTCTCTCACGGATAGGAAATGTTAGCTCTTATTCTGTTTTTTAAGCTTAAATTGAATATTATTACGACCTAGAAGGGGATATTTATAACGATATAAATCGGAATATAAGGAAGTAAACGGCAATCCGTTTTATCCATCAGTATATTCACCTCCTTCATGGGGGACATAAAAGCCAAAAGACCAATGCAAATCTGATATCATCAGGCCTAATGTATAGTAGTACGTATACTTGATTTGCAAGAACTTTGGTTATGTTATGATGTTTAACGATGTTAATAAGATATTATTATTATTAAAGATACATTATGGGAGATTTGATAACGAGCTGGCAGTTCTCACTATAATAATTAAAAACTAGATAACGTAAAGGCAATTTGCTGAAAATTTCATTCAAATTGATCCACTATGAATCAGAACTAAGCGAATGAAATTTCTGCCTAGCCTCGGTCATCATTACTAAAGTCAGTACGATAAACAGCATAGTCTCGATTATCCATTTAATCGTTTAATCGACAAGGAAAGTTATGCAGTAAATCGGCTCAAAATCCACTTAAGATCGCAGGCTAGCGATGCCATCTAGAGTTGATTATGGTCTGGATAAGTTAATTCGTGTCTAATTAATAATTTAGATAACATTTCAGGCCTAAAGAAAGACCTGCAATTGACAGATTTAGCTCTTGCATAATGTATGTTTAATGTATTATGTTTTCTGTTTTAGGTTCAAGAACAACTTCGATTTATTTCATCAGTGACATTATTAGAACCAGATTTTCCAACATATATATCCTTAACACAAAATAATGTTTTAAATGTACGTATAAATTATCTTTTCATTGAAATGGGGATTAAAGTCTCGTCAACATTATTCTGTGTACATTCATTTCAATGGTCAGGTGCACAGTGCGTGCTGACGTGGGGTTGAGGGAGTTGATCATTTTTATCCACGCGATCTTCATCTAAACCCAACAGTCAAGTGTTCTTCTTTAGGTGCACGCCAATATGTACACGTGTGGACCCGGGTTTTCCGTCTCATCCTTGAACTTTGCAACTCGATTATCACAGGTAGACATTTTAGCTGGAAAACTTGAGACTTGGTATTCGGGATGATCGAGGACTCTGATAGGCTCCCCAGCTGGGTCAGTAGCTAATGGAAATTAGTGCCGAAATATGCCGGGCATTACGTGAAGGGCTTGATAAGATGTACGGAGGTAAAGCTAGACCAAGCCTTATATTGAAAATGGTGATAACCAGACCACCACACAGTTAAACGCGGCGTCGGATTAACATAGCTCTGGTAAAATTATCATACCCTACACTACAAGACCCGTATTTTCAAGGGTCTGGCGCTGAATGCGTACAAGCTATCATTTCAGATTCGGTGTTTGTGCACCAGCTCTATTACTGTAGTACAATACTGGCTCCAACATTTTATATGCCCTTTAATGCATTCCACAAAACTATGTTCAACCATATATGAATGTTTTATGATTGGCGTTTTTTGTAGGCTACAACATTTATTTTACCGGTTAAAATAATACGGAAACCATTTCAAATCTGGATTTTAGCTGTGAGTATTGTAAGTGGGCTGCTGTTGTTATATTTAGTAGGCCTGTTATTATGGAAGGTGAGTGTTTTTTTAATCGATTTTTTATATATTAACAGAATGAAATAATAACATAACTACTTACCCCAAGCTGTACGCCATATTGAAGGTCTCTCTGTCCAAAACCGTATAGATATATAGGGCCTTGTCTCTGTTAAACTGAATACGTATACATTTCAGAAAATTCTGAAGTTGTTCAGATTGGTTGGCCCAGAAGACAGAGCAAAGAACGACTTCAACCATTTTTCGCTATAAAGCTAGGAATTATTTACTTGATTATGATATTGTGATTACAATCCACAAGTCAGCAATTATGATTATGTCTTTTAGTAGCTGGTGTAGGAAGATGCTTATTTTCGATTATGACATATTATTAGCACACTGAAATCAAATGAAATGACGGAATTAGCACACTAGATTTGTACTCAACTACCGTAGTCTACTGATTTTTGTTTTGCAAACTCACTGTCTGACAATCTAAAATGTGTTTTTATTTCAGTGTGGGTTTTTCCGACGGAAGAAAAAAGAGGAACTTCAAAAATTGATAAGAGAAACAGAAACAGAAAGAATAGCCAATATTACGTCACATCCTGTTAGCGATGTCAATGACGTCATGATATTACCAGCGCCAAATAATATTTTCCTGTCCGATGTGATGACGTCAGACACAACAACATTTACACACGAAAATAACCATAATAACCATTGGAGGTCAACACCGGCTTATAATAACGACACATATTTACATCCAATCGGATTAAATAATGTAACGTGATTGACACCAAGTGTGATCTGAGTGTGATCTGAGAGTATGGAACGCCAAGCTAGGATACCCATAATTAATACATAATAGGTATGATTCAGTTGACTTAATATAAATGTTAATACGGCGTTCCATAACCTCGGATACTATCACTGAATCTTGAAAACAAGCATCCACCAAGTTATCGTTGTATTTTGGTGAATTCCAGGATCAGTTTGATCTTTGACCCTGTTTGAATTCAAGGGGAAATGAATAAGAATTAGTGCGGTGATTAATGGAGTACAGTACGCCTAATATTTCCCACCTGAATTCGAGCAGGGCCAAACCCTTATTCTTATTTTTTAAAATTAAATAGCTATTTATTATTACTGAGCTTTAATCACTGCCAGATTAAATATTTACTGCCATCGTTTCAGTCTCGACAGCTGGGGGTAAAGACTATTTTGACTGACACCAAAACTAGTTGAAATCTTACTGCAATGGGTTTTGGTTGACTGTACATAGAAACATATATTTTGTAATTATACATTTTCTCGGTGTCATATATTAAGGCATACATCGGATACTGTCTTAGTAGAGCGATAGAGAGAGAGAGCGAGGGAGAGAGAGAGGGAGAGCGAGAGAGAGAGAGCGAGAGAGCGAGCTACTAATCCCAGTCAAGATCAGTTACACAATGAATAAAGTTTAGTGTAATGTACATAATATTTCGTTATTTGGGGCATTATACTCACAAAAACTGATATCTCTTAAAATCTCGATATCTGCGTGGAATCAGTTTCTAGTTTCAAGCACAATTAGGCCACCTCTGTTGATCTTGTACGAAGTGGATATATTATGGCTACATTTAAATAATTTAAAACTTTAGATCCACAGATAGAGCCAGTGTAGAGTTATAACCGACTGTGTGTTCAGCTGTAAGCCAATGACCAAACTAAAATTAGTTAACAAACTAACTCATACAGATCTTCTCTCATCTCTAAACACAAACGAATACTTTATTTTAGGTACGTTTAGGTATAAAAGTCTGAGTATGTATGAAATTTAAACGCCAAAATATAGAGGAATGGTGTATTTACCTTATCTCAAAATTTCAGCTTAGAAATTTCAGAAATTCACACAGCTACCATATTTTTGTTGTTGTTTAGTATTTAAGTGACTTTGAATTTGAAATCTATGTCAGAATTATGGCTCCATGTAGTCTATTGTTTTTTTTATACAAAAACCCACTTGTTTCGTTTTGATAATTAATTAATGTAGCTATAGTTTTTTTGGAGCTTGTACATTCAGTTATGTGTTTACACTTAAAGTCATTTCATGTTAAATTATGTTTTCATGTTATTTTCAAATAAACATCTAATACTTTATTTTTACTTTTCCTAAAGTTACATTATCGCTTTTTGGGGTCCCCAAAGAGGTCTAGGTAGGGTTATGTACTATCTTAGCCTTGCTCTCTTATAGGGCTTAACCCACTCGAGAAAGCACTCTGAATGTTATAGGATAGGGCTTCGAAATGAGTTTCCTTGCATCCATTAAATGAGTTTCTTTGCATAAAGAAATAATATGGGGCTTAAAAAATAGGTCAGTGGTGGGCATTTTGATAGAGTTAAGTTTAATATGATATTATTTTTTAAAATGTCATGATGAGGAAATGATAATGCCACTTTAAAATGTATAAAATAGAGAAATGACCATTTTTGTTCGTTTTTTCTTGACTTCTTTATTTTGCAATGTGTTTAAATTATCATGTATATTGTTGATTTTTTAAATGATTATTCTTTTGATGACACAATTATATCTTAAGATCGTGACATATGGAATGTCTCATTACGTCCATATTGTTGCGAGAACAAGCCTATTTAAACGTATATAATACTATGTATTACGCTTTGTTCTTGATGCTGAAATACAAATAAATTGTTCTTCTTAACATGTTACTTTGCATTGTTTAATTTACAAGGAATGGATGAGGGAGGATTTACGTCATGCCTTTCTCTTCCAATCACACGAAGACGCGCATACGCCATGCAGTGCGCTATGAGAGAAATTTTCACCGGGCAGAAATGAAATTGAATTCTAATTGTCAAAGGTTCTAATTGTCAAGGTGTGCAGGGGACCTCGGATTTTCAACCATAGCAAAAACTAATCACCCTTTTCGTTGATGGACATCCGAACGACTAGACTCTTTACCTTGTTATGACAACTGTTTAGTTTGGTTGAATGGCAATCTCTAGCGTCCGGCTATTACAGTCTTCACCGTTTATTGTGCATGCTCTCCAGATAATGGTGTTACCGTTTGACATGACTTGTGGAATATTTCTAGTCTCGTTCTTCGAGTCCCTGGTTACAAATGGAGCTGAAACGTTTATTTTGTCTTAAATATTTGATATCAGAAGCCCATCTTTTCCCGGTAAGATCACAACATCAATGTTGATTTAAATTGACAAATAATTCGTGTTTTCAGTGTCGAAGACTTTGGATGATATTGAGTTGGAGACTTAGCTACTTTAAACCCGTGTGAAACTGGATATGGGTTTTTTTTAATCAAAACTGTAAACAGGCCGGGGCTGGTCGATGACTTGTAACATTGACACCGGCTTGACCTGCTTGTTGTTATTGCACAGAAAACCCACCCCACTTCTCTATATGATTTCTACTAACTGCGCGAGCTCGGGTGTTTATCTAACTTGACCCCGAGGTCAAGGTCGATAACTCACTTTACACACTGATACTGCACGCAGTGATCCATCTACGAATATGATCACTGCCCTAAATGACGTCCATTTAAAACGCACACGTGATCATTTTGGGGCGGGACTTATCGACTGGACTATGGCTTTGTATATGCAACAGAGTAAAAATAACCCGAAGCACGTGTTTTATGTAAACACATGTCAGGTTGGCAAAATGTCAACTTCTGCCACTCCGGTAAAAGCGATATATAATATGTGCTAGTGGGCAATATTACAATAAAGTCTTTACCATTGTAAACTGTCTTTAGAGTTTCAATCTGTTTATCTTTCAAAACAAGGTTAGATACCCCTAAATTTGTCTTCACAACACAGTATCGTTGCTACGAAAATAAACAATCTACGTCAAAACTTCAAACAGTGATAACGTCGCTCAAAATAAAGTAATATGAATAAAATTTTTAATATATCAACTTTGAACTGTTAAAATAAGAACGACCAGCGCTTTGTCTAAATCTTACATAATGCATCTTTACCTATGTATTTACTGTATTGTATATATATATCTATGTATTTGTTTAATAATCTGTTTATTTATGTTTTACTTGTTAAAAAAAACTTTTCAAATTAATATCCAGACGTTGTAATTAATTCTACACTATGTTCTTTTAAAGAGGAGGTTTTAGAAGTTATTAAATTTTATTTAAAAATACATATTTTAGTTGTTGCACACGAGTGTTCATCAGCGATCTTTTTTGCCGACGATAAATCGTAGAATGTTTGTCTGAACTGAACAAGACGACTATGTCCTGAGAAAGACATGCTTGACAAATCTATTGGTTCTTGCAGTTACACAGCTTCATGGGTATGGAAGGGTATCGCTGCCAATATTAAATGCTCTGCTAAAATGTCTTTTCAATTGATTACGTGTAAAAAAGTACAATGTACAAAGTCTTAATACCGGTAATGATAAAGTCAAAATAAAACGAAGGGCAAAATTAAATGTAAAATGCAATGTGTCAAATGTTTAATGGAAAATGCTGTTTTTGACGTGTCTACATTTTTCCATTCCTTGGTTCAAAGAGCCATGGAAACATACTTTCCAGTGATGTATAACACGATTACTGGAATTTCATATTAAGACCCGTATTTTAACATTTTAAACCCTCGCCACCGACCCACACCCTCTCTCTAAATTTTAGTACAGGCTAATTAACTTTAACTTTAATCCATTCAAAAAAAAAAAAAAAAAAAGTCATTGTGCGCAACAAAAAATGAATATATGTGTACTTAAAGAGAGGAATGAGTATCCATGAACGTACTTTTCACTGATATCTGGAATTTCGTATTATGACCCGTATTTGGACCTTACATATACGTTATCATGGTAATATAGTTTAGTACCATCCAAATTTGATCGTTTTTCAAGGTAAGTAAATATCTTATAGTGTGCCAGGTTGATTTCCTCTTATAATGTGCTAGCTTACAGTGTGCCAGGTTAATCTCGGCCTCAAAAAATGAAATGAAATGAAATGGGGTTTAACGTCCCACTGTTCTGCTCCGACTGGGCTAATAAAGACGGGCATACGCCATACAGTGTGCTATGAGGGAAATTTTGCCCGGGCAGCGGCACTATCGCCTACTCTTATATCGAATTCCAACTGCCAAGGGATCTTTTACGTGCATTCCAATGTATACACGGGACCTCGGTTTTTCGTATCATCCGAAGGACTAGACAGCTATCCTTGTCAGACCTTCCGTTCTGCACCACTGACAAGGAGAAACCACGTCGGAAAATCCCGATGAACTTTCTCAGCCAATGCAGGGATCGAACATCCGACCTCCAGGCTAGCGAGCCAGCGTCTTAACTACCTAGCCACAGTGGCTCCAATCTCGGCCTCGTTTCTGTATAAGTTAATAAATCACGTGATGTCTATATTTGCATATCATAGTTAGTGCTCTGCTTAAAGTGCTATGTAGAAAGCGCGAAACACAAATGAGATGTGGCAGAGCGCAAATGTAAAATGTAATGAGAGAAATGTAAAATGTAGACACTTAAAAAAACAGCTTTTTCCAATAAAACATTTGTCATTTGACACATTACATTTGACTTTTTATGTTTAACTTTTGCCTAAGAGATATTTTGACTTTATCATTACCGGTATTAGGACTTTGTACATTGTACTTTTTACATATAATCAACGGAAAAGATATTTTAGCAAAGCATTTAATATTGACAGCGATACCCTTCCATACATGGGGGTCTGGCAAGGAGAAGCGTATAGTTGGGGGGGGGGGGTGTCCCGTACAAGCAGGGAATCGAAACCACGCCACTTGACTCAATGACAGACCTACTGATCCAGCGCGCACTCGTTAACACCATACATACTTCGTCTTGATGGGAGAAAACACCGTGGTCCCGTGTAATATTTATCATTGGAAGCACATTAACGACCCGGCACATATAAGACGCTTTAGGAATGTTGTTCCGTTGTACCCCTTAAGAAGCTCTTACGTCAATTATTACGCCCTTCGTAGGATCACGAAGTGCATTATCCTCTCGTTTCAAGTTGGTGGTTGTCGAGTAGATTTGAAAATTGCATCATACAGGTAATTTGCACAGTGTGCTGAAGACGCCCAAAGGGGGCTTTGATCGTATGACCTGTTTAACAGTGAAGAGGAGCATTTCTGTTTTAACAACTACCAAACTGCATGTGTAAAAATCAGAGAGAAACATTTTCTTTTCAAAATCTGTACTGTTGGTTCCCAAAATATGTGAATATTGTGAATCCTCCTGATGGAATGGTATCGTCAAGATTAAAAATAATGGTCGTTCACAAAACAGAGAAATTCGGTCTTCAGTTAAGTCAAGAAATCTACGACGTAAGATAATCTTTATCCTTGATAGGGGGTCACAGTGGCTAAGTGGGTAAGACGCTGATTCGCTAGCCTGGAGGTCGGATGTTCGATCCCTGCATTGGCCGAGAAAGTTCCTCCAGAACTTCCAACGTGGTTCCCCCTGTCAGTGATGCAGGACGGAGGGCCTGAAAAGGACAGCTGTATAGTCGTTCGAATGGGACGAAAAACCGAGGTCCCGTGTACACATTGGCGTGCACGTAAAAAAGATCCCTTGACAGTGGGAATTCGATATAAGAGTAGGCGGTAGTGCCGCTGTCCGGGCAAAATTTCCCTCATAGCACACTGTATGGCATATGACTGTCTTCATTATTTCAGTTCGGAGCAGAACAGTAGGACGTTAAACCCCCATTTCATTTCATTTATCCTTGATAGTCAGCATGCTTCATGGGAGAGAACTCCTACAGGTCAATCTCGACTAACCGCTGGTGAAAAGATTCTCGATGTCGGATGCGGATTCGGTGCTTCCACATATTTTTGTTTTTTGCGAGGTATACTTAAAATTGGATTCAGTTTGGTAACGCAGACAATAGAGTATAACGCTGCATATGATATAAGCAAATGAGGCCCATGGTACAAACCTAGTAGTCCTTCTTAGAGTTGTAGTTTGCATATTTTCTAAGAAGGTCAAACATAATTATTTCTATACCTGTTGTTTAATAGGTTCTCACATCACTATTATACAATCAAAGAAACCATTCTAGCACTAAAAAACCCAAGTCTATATAACCCGCTCACGTTATATTGTTCTAACCTTCAAACCACAACGTTTTAGTTTCAACTTGAAACTTTTCCGACGTGGTTTCTCCTTGTCAGTGGTGCAGAACGGAAGGTCTGACAAGGATAGCTGTCTAGTCCTTCGGATGATACGAAAAACCGAGGTCCCGTGTATACATTGGAATGCACGTAAAAGATCCCTTGGCAGTTGGAATTCGATATAAGAGTAGGCGATAGTGCCGCTGCCCGGGCAAAATTTCCCTCATAGCACACTGTATGGCGTATGCCCGTCTTTATTAGCCCAGTCGGAGCAGAACAGTGGGACGTTAAACCCCATTTCATTTCATTTCATTTTTTGAGGCCGAGATTAACCTGGCACAATGTAAGCTAGCACATTATAAGAGGAAATCAACCTGGCACACTATAAGATATTTACTTACCTTGAAAAACGATCAAATTTGGATGGTACTAAACTATATTACCATGATAACGTATATGTAAGGTCCAAATACGGGTCATAATACGAAATTCCAGATATCAGTGAAAAGTACGTTCATGGATACTCATTCCTCTCTTTAAGTACACATATATTCATTTTTTGTTGCGCACAATGACTTTTTTTTTTTTTTTTTGAATGGATTAAAGTTAAAGTTAATTAGCCTGTACTAAAATTTAGAGAGAGGGTGTGGGTCGGTGGCGAGGGTTTAAAATGTTAAAATACGGGTCTTAATATGAAATTCCAGTAATCGTGTTATACATCACTGGAAAGTATGTTTCCATGGCTCTTTGAACCTATCAATTATTTCCTGGCACATTCATTATTACGTGCTTTAGAGAAAGAAAAATCCTCGTTGTTTTGTCGAAAGAAATGTGTCGCTGTCCGACAGTATTCTAATTACTAAATATAGACTATACTTTCATTTTATGTTATTTGTCGAAGGCTCGGATTAGCCATATCAATCACATGATTTTATTGCAAGCACGGTCTTCCAGCGAATTTCTTATATTTTACCATGTTGATTGCCTCAATATCGTGTGGTAAATATCTTATAGTGTGCTGGTTTATAGTGTGTCAAGTTGAGCCCAGCCTCGTTTCGGTACATGTGAAGTCACGTTATATCCTACATGTGCATACCAAACTTAGTGTTCTGCGCAAGATGCTACGTGAAAGCGTGAAGGACAAATGAGAAGCGAAAGAGCACAAATGTAAAATGTAATGAAGGAATGGAAAAATGTAGACACGTCAAAAACAGCATTTTCCATTAAACATTTGACACATTGCATTTTACATTTAATTTTGCCCTTCGTTTTATTTTGACTTTATCATTACCGGTATTAAGACTTTGTACATTGTACTTTTTACACGTAATCAATTGAAAAGACATTTTAGCAGAGCATTTAATATTGGCAGCGATACCCTTCCATACCCATGAAGCTGTGTAACTGCAAGAACCAATAGATTTGTCAAGCATGTCTTTCTCAGGACATAGTCGTCCTGTTCAGTTCAGACAAACATTCTACGATTTATCGTCGGCAAAAAAGATCGCTGATGAACACTCATGTGCAACAACTAAAATATGTATTTTTAAATAAAATTTAATAACTTCTAAAACCTCCTCTTTAAAAGAACATAGTGTAGAATTAATTACAACGTCTGGATATTAATTTGAAAAGTTTTTTTTAACAAGTAAAACATAAATAAACAGATTATTAAACAAATACATAGATATATATTTATACAATACAGTAAATACATAGGTAAAGATGTATTATGTAAGATTTAGACAAAGCGCTGGTCGTTCTTATTTTAACAGTTCAAAGTTAATATATTAAAATCTTTATTCATATTACTTTATTTTGAGCGACGTTATCACTGATTGAAGTTTTGACGTAGATTGTTTATTTTCGTAGCAACGATACTTGTTAATCGTGGCTCAACCTCGCTTCTCCATTTTTAAATTAAATCATTTATTTGAATCCGTTTACATGTGCACCATCCAGTGGTCTAGATAGTTGATTATAGGCTTGTCATGTGAATAAATATTAAACTATATAACATTTGAAGCCAAAATAAAAACCTGCAATAGGCAGGTTTAGCTCTTACGTAATGCATCTGTAATCTAGTAAAACTTTCATTAAAAGTTTAGAGTGACAAATAGACCCACAATATAGTAAATACATAGTTATTCAAGTAAAACGTTCATTAAAAGTAAGAGATTAGAACGACAAATAGGGCTACAATGTTTAGATTGAATAAAAGCATTTAGTACAGATGGCGAATTTAGGGGGTGGAAAACATTCAAAAGTCTACACCATAATAATCTCAACCATAATAATATGCAAACTTTTATATATTTATTACTTAGCTCAAATATGTAAACGTAGACTAAGGGCAAGTAATTTTCTTAATTCTACATAGGTAAATAAACTAAAATTAACGGCCTTAAGTTTCAAACTAGTATTAATTTTAAAGATGTAAATATACACATACATGATGTAACTATTTACTTGAACTAGTTAATGTTACATTACAAACTAGTAAAGTTACATGAACTAGTCACTATACATCAGTAATTGTTTAGATAAAAAAGTAACTGTTTTGACACTGGTAAAAAAGTAAACAAATAACAGCTTCGGCATTAGGAGACAGTGGCCTACCAAAGTGTTGGGGGGGGGGGGCTGGTCTATCGCCCTGAGAAAAAGATGCCGGACACAATTTTATTTCTTTTTAAAAGTTTAAGTATATTTGATGTGTACTGTGTTGTTTTTTCCACTAGTGCGTGGTTGGGGGCAAAGACCGCACAATCTTTAAGTACGCCACGCCACAGCTATAGTAAACAAGTAAATGTTGGGCACTAGTAAACAATTAAATAGTAATTCAAGATTTACAGAAAGTTCCACAAATAGTAATTCAAGATTTACAGAAAGTTCCACAAACTGCCAACTTGGTTCACTACTAAATCCACAATAAAATCTCTTTCAACCATAATACTTTTTAAATAATGTTCATATAAATAATACTTGGCGCAAGATATAACTTCTTTGTAAGCCTATAAACACACACACACACACATATATAAATAAATAAAAGCAAACGAACCAACATGAACGCACACACACGAATTGTCATCACTGAAGAGTCTTTGAAGCAAGTGCGATGTAATACTTTACTTGATTACTGATCTTCGAAGATGAACAAAGTACTAAAATGTACTACTATTAATATAAATGCACATTTCATCATATTTTAGATCGCTGATGGTATTGATGTTTCCGCCAATAAGCTTAAATCAACACATATTCACAATTATTTTTGTCCATGTTCACATTTGTTTCCATATGTATTCGAAGTCCATCATACCATTAGCCTACTACAAGATAAAAATAGACACATAAGTTGTCTACATTATATAAAAAATACAATTACAGTTCTAGGCAGGTATAGTTTTTGAAAAGCTGTTGGACTGATTCTAAAATCGAAATCTCTTTTAACAGTCGACATTATGGAAAATCACATGTAGTCGTTTTAAAGACGGCGCGACCCTTTAAAACACTAGGATCAACACGCGAGGTTTCATTTCTTTCCAGCTCGAAATGTCTAGAGCTGTAGTTTGTTAATTTTTATTTGTTAAAGATTTTTTCATTTAGCCAACTCACCAAATTAGCACCATGATTACACACCATTTTCACGCCTTTTTTCCTAGCAGCCGTGAAACACGTTGTATTCATCCGCCATATCGTGAACTGTCTCTATACCATCTTCATCCCTGCTTTCAACCGAACTACCCGTGCCCGTACTCGTGCAACTACGGGCACTAGTTGCTGACCGACATGCCCACTTTAATTCCTCTTCGCTGTCGGGAACTATATGAATGGCCTTGACCTCTGTTTCGCGCTTTTTCTTTTTGCTGCTTACGCGTCGTTTGATAAACTTATATAATTTCCTGGTGTCGTTGGTAAACTGAAATTAGATGAAATTCGAGAATGGCAAATTAAAAAAAAATTACAACAGCCCCATAATGTCAAACGGTATTATTTAACTTTTACCAATAACTTTTTAATGGTTGGGTGGGGGGGGGGCGAGCGGTCAAGACACGGGGTATCTTTAACTTGCGAGGCTGATAAATCCAGTACAAATACCAAGGCTGTCTGGCGGTGGTGGAAACCACAAGGCCAATATGTAGCAAAGTTAGATATTAAATACCAAGGGTGCTTAACGACATCAAACACTACCAATGGTGTCTAATAGCCCCCGCTCCCCGGGCAAATATATTAGATATCAAATACCAAGAGTATCTAACAATACCAAATGCCATGCATAGGCCAATATGACGTGTCTAATTTAAACACCTGTACTGTTAGATCACGTTGACTCTATAAACCTAACACTAATTGGGTTTCTTTTATAAAATTAACGGGTGTAATTCTTACCTCATCGGCTGCGTCAACGAAAGATTTCCATCCCGATTTATTTTCATTTGAACTGCTGGGGGATGCCATTCTTTCTTCTATGTCTTTATCGCTCTGTTAATATATAAAATATAATTAAGTTTAGTTACAGTCGGCGATATCACTTATGTGGAAGCAGACGTTGAATAAAGCTATTTCACACACACACAGATACATGTATAGTCAACGTGTATAGTGATTATGGAACTATGTGAATACCATCCCCCATGGGCCTATAACGTACATTATATCCGAGAATGAATGCTCAACTGAAGAACAAAATGAAATGAATGAGCTAATGAAGACGGGCATACGTCATAGAGGAAAATTTGTCCCGGACACCGGCACTACGACCTACTCTTATTTCGAATTCCAACTGTCAAAGGTTCTATCATATGCACGCCAACATGTACGATGGACCTCGATTTTTCGTTCCATACGAACGGCTAAACACATAAGAATTTATGTGAATAGACGGCTTGGAGGATTGTTTTTTTTTTTAGAAACGTTGTTATTTACTTGTTTATTGGTTCTAGTTTCATATTTGGCTTACTGTGTCGACAGTGGAACAAATAATCGGTGATATTATCACACTTGTTCATCTATTGACGTAAAATATTCATCAAACCAATTTGATTAAAACACAGATCCTATTTCGTTTCGTTTTTTATAGTTCAAAATTTCGTTTAACTTATCAGTACTATGTAGTTGAGATCAGTATTATAAAAACAAATCAATATTTTATCGAAAACACAAAGCGGTTTAAAAGGAATTAATTTAATTTATTTACAGTAATCAATATAACTATACGTATATATATATATTAGCTTTCAAAAATTAAGCCTATACTTAAAACTATTTGTACAATAATACTAATTGAATATAATTTTTTTAAAAAAACAATCTTTAGATTATGTTTGTGTATTTTCACTTCTTGGAAAAATACTTTTGGACTTTTTAAAAAAAAGTTTCTAAGGGTGTTGACGATTTGAAATATCAAAAAAATTTAAAATAGGAAAAACAATAAAAGAGGTTTAACGTCCTACTGTTCTGTGCCGATTGCAGGAACCACAGCAACAACGATCTTTAATTGTTAAAATTAAATTTGAAATTCGTTTAAACAGTTCTATATCACATATATAAAATAATTGTTGGACGTCAACATTGGTTTTTAACTTACAATTTACGAGTCATACAGATTCTTTTTAGTGGTTTTGAAAAAGTTTAATTAAATACGCCCGTGGTCGGATTTTCAGAAATAAGGAGTGATTTTGAATATAAATTAGTTAAATTTATTAGTTTGGTGAGAGTGAAAAAGTCACTAAACTTAATTTATATCACAGTCATATAAACAAAACAGGCGAGTTTTATTGTCAATATATATCTAGAATTACAATTGGCTTTTTATTGCTAATTTAAACATATCCACATAGGTCACCCTATTCTTCAACAATTCCTTATTGTCAGAGAATAATACTTTATTACAGAGAGAAGTGGTGTTTAACGTCCACTCGACAGAAACTGGGTCTAGGTCACTTCGAGACTAACCTGGTTCAATTTTATTTCAGCAGTGGAAAGAAACCGGAGGACCCGAAGAAAACCCTCGGGGTTGGATAGACGATCACACTCCTTCCCACGTACAATCGGGGAATGGAAACCACGCCATTTGACTCAGTGATAGACCTTGTGATCTATAGCGCACGCTTTAAACCATTCGGCCACCCAACCTTTTTTTATTATTACAAGTCGTGCGTTGTGTTTGCATGGTAGATTTGAACCTTCCCACACAAAGTAGTATCTGGTGTTTCGAGAAGATTAAGAATACCCAACCTTGTACACGATGCCCGCTACTACTATTAATAACACTTTGGGTATTATAGAAACATTAATGTTGGTCATATAAATCTTGGATGAGAGATATAGAAGATAATTATACTGTGTCCATAAATATTGAATCTCTTTCAAACCCAGAATTATTTGGGTGTTTTCTAAACTGATTAATGGAGCGGATCAAATTGGGTTTTTATTTAATCTATACCTACGCATAATACCGATATAGCTATTACACTGGTGTAGATAGAGAGAGAGAGAGAGAGAGATAGAGAGAGAGAGAGTTAACGTCCACTCGAGAAACAAACTAGGTCATTTCGGAACTAACATATGGATCAATTGTATTTCAATAATTGGGCACAGGCAACCATACTCCTTGTTACGTACAGCCGGGGAATCGAAACCACGCAAGTTGACTGATCCACAGACCTTACGATGCAACGCACACGCCCTAACCATTTCCCCCCCCCCCCCACACACACACACTGATATTAATATAACGCGTCCATGGCATATTACTGCTACACTCTTTATCATATGATTGATGATCTCATCGTATTTTAAAGTATTACATTTGTCTGACTTGATCCCAAACATATTGTTGATATTAAAACTTACCTTTAGTTATGATAAAGAAGACAGCTCTGAACATATATTTAACTATTATTGACAATCAGACACTGGAGAAGGAAATGGATAGACTCTTTAAACACTGGGGACTAATGAATCTTTATATATTATCCATCTAATTGAACGGCTAGTCCATAGCTGTCGCGTACGGACAAATCCCCTAGCAACCAATGATATGCGCTGTTACAAGTATGTAACACTATTGAACAAATTAGATCACATGACTGATAATGAACGGGGCTGATTGATTGATCGTGTTTAGCGATTAACCTAATTAGATAATCACGTGGACAAAATTAACGATGACAATCGCCGATGTGTTACAAACTCAAAACATTGTTTTGTCTTTTAAAGATGTTTCTGGCAGTCTAAATATGTAATAGATTTTAAGATATGAGTTGTTTTGTCTACGATGTCGTCTTTTAACAATACAGGCCAAACGTCTAAAAACTATTATGAATTAAAAAAAAACAACAGTCGTGTCATTGTTGACATATGAAATAAATGAGGCACAACCAATGTTAGGTACAAGACAACTGGGTGTTTAATTTTATACCTTTTCATCATGTGTAGGTTTTAGAAATTAGAATTATTCGTATAACAAATACTTATAGACAACACAACAAACTAACGTTGGATAATATAGATTCTGTGGAAACGCAGCACAAAATTAAATTGAATTCAATTACTTTTTATTACGGAGAGGCGTTTCGACGACGATTCTTTAGTCTTTATCAAGAAAAAGAAATGGAATAGGGTTTAGTGTCTTCAATTTTTGAGAATCTTAGTCAAAATGTCGCTCAGTAATAAACATAATTGTATTTCATATAATTGTGACCTGTGTATTTCCAGCGCAATTATGCCATTGACAGTTTGAAACAATTTAGCTTCTGTGTGGGTTCCAATTGGTGAGACAGTTACGACTTCATAGGGGTACGTGGTGCACGTGACAAGTTATCTCTCCTCCTTTTAGACCACCTGATGTCACTTCTTTTTTAAGGAGTTCACATAGCCACAGACTGGTTACTCAGCTGGTGACCATTGACAGTAATGTCGGCTTGTGAAATCTAGGTCCAAAACATTGCACCAGTTAGCTAAAAGTAGTTATTGGCTGGTGCAGTAGGCTGTGTATGCTTAAATGTTGTTATACATTTGTATTACTTAGCTGCGGGGGAAATGCTTACTTTCCGCCGCTACTGTGGCGATCTTTTAGCAATAAAGAAACAAGTATAAATACTTATTAAGAAATATTTTCTTCTAACACCATATTCAAACAACATGTATGTCAAAAGTACACACTATTCTTAAAGTCGCTCGTGCATTACCGTGAAACAGACACCAGAGTTTAATCGTATTACGATTACTATACATATTAACATATTATTTATATTATCTATATTCCAGATTATATCACGATAATCTTAATATATATTAATGGGCCAGTGGATTTGTAAATATACTTTTATGGAGATTTTCTATATTTAACTCCCACAGGAATTTGGCTCATTGACATTCGGATGGTAATTAATCCGAGCAAACCCATTTGATTTCATGGCCGCTATTATCTGAAGATTGCGCAGTAAGATTTCACAACAAACATACAAATTTGGAAGTAGTTTCAAAATGTTACCAACTAGACACCATCCATGTCCGCTAATATAAGCCCGGTTGCATACCATTCTAATGTTCGCGGGCTTTTCCGATGTTTGGACACCGGATGGGGGAGAAACTGGTCCTCAAGTGGTACTCATCTTTTTGTACTTCTTGGGGTGGCGTTCTTCGAAAAAAGCCTAAGGCTCCGCCAATACAATAACGTTCGACATGATACTTGGCGTGCTTGTTCCTTGGTCAATTTTGCATTGATTGGCAGAGTGACAATTCCAAGATGGCGGAGATCTTGTCATGGACATTTACATGCATCGTTGAATTTTCTATTAAGTGTGTACCGAAAGTTGTGCAAAAAAAAAAAATAGTCCTACCACCTACCGATATTTTTTCGCTGTCATGTAATATTTAAAGGTGGTAATATGATCTCACTGACATGCTTTACATTTCACGTTTCCAGAAATTTATAATTTGACATTTTCAAAGATACATAGTCGCATTTTCTACGACTTACATATCGAAAGTTGTGTTTAACACAATAAATAGACCTACAACCTATCGCCGTCAGGTGCTGTCGATAGGTGGTAATGTTTTGGGCACTACTTCAGACAATTCTAATAAAAAAAACCCAAAAAACCACCTCCAAACCTTCGAATAGACAAAAAACGTGCTTTCTCTCTTTGGCCGAATCTGGTCGCCATTCACCATAAAAGCGACTAAAATGCAACCAAAGGGTACGAATGTCTCAAAAGTATCTGACTCTTTCCCAGCTCTGCATTCAGTCAATAAAATGCCAAAAAGAAAACGATGGAAAGAGTCGGGAATTTTGGAATGACCTAAATGGGACGATATTTGGATCTGGGTTTCAGAAGCCAAAGATATTCTAAGGGGTCATGCTCTCGTTCAAAGACCACCAGAAGAGTCACTCGCCCAATGGATTAAATATGATATTGCCCAATGGCGAATCTATATAAAACACACAATTCCACTTTCTCGTATTCATCGATCAC